TGTCTATCAAACTATCAATTAATCAATCAATCTATCTATGAATCTATCTATCTATCTTATCTATTTATCAATCAATCCTTAAACCGTAAAGTCTTTTATTATCTTTAAATTCTCTTTTTCCCCTCCTCAGTATAATCGAAGAGCTAAGGATGCGAGACCCGTCCTTCCCTGATGTTTCTCATGGAGTTCTCATCCACCGTGTGATTGTAGGATCTCCAGCCAACAGGTGTGCTGCTCTCTGAACATGATGTTATCAGCTGTTGAGTAAGGCATCCTATTGATGATGTCATTTCCTGTTTTCTGTTTTGCAGAGCCGGAATGAAGCCAGGAGATGTTATTATTGAGATCAATGGGGTAAAGGTGAACACGTCAGAGGAGATATATAATGCTGTGAGGACCAGCGAAAGCTTAAATGTGGTGGTCCGCCGGGGGGCCGACCTGCTCATGCTGCACATGACCCCAGAGTCCACAGAGTGACATCAAGTCAAGTATTTAGTAAGATTAAGAAATGGTGAGTAATGAGAAGCTGTCATAGTTGGAGATGTTGTAAGAAAGGAATCATCTAAAGAGTTGAACAGTTTTAGCAAACGCTGGACATTCGTGTAGTAAACGTGTTTCTGGAAGCGTATGAAATAATGTGGATGATTCAGACTTCTGTACACTGGATAAACCTCAGTGTGTCTGCGCAAACTACACTATCAGTATTGATTTGAAGGAATATCACTGAATATTTTGTTTAGGATTGTCATGATGGCAACAAACACTCAAAGACCTTAATAAAACTGGGTGCTCTTATTGTGAAAATGCTGATGTTTTGTATTGAGTCTCACATTCTCATGTTACGACGTTTGTATTTTAATACATTTTTCTGAACAGCTCTGATTTCACAATAAACCATTGGAATATTTATGGATGATTTGCTTATGTCGCAGTGACTGATATGTTTAGGTTTTGGGTCAGCGCTGTACAGCATTCTGAAAAAGTGTATTTCTAAAAGTGCGCCGTAATGACGCCAGTGTCAACTGCAGTGTGTGTTGGAAAGGACTGGATGCTGTTCAAACCTCATGCCAAATTTTTGTCACCCCAAACAAAACCATTTTAAATCCACACAATCTGACAACACTGGGGCTAGATCACAATATAAGCCACAACACAAGTGAGTTCAATAAAATATATCTTTATTACAGACATGTACAAAAATCAAATATACAAAACATTCTGCTAATGTGACTCAGAACTCCAGCATGGACCAGTCGTGGTAAGGCATCTCTTCTAGAGGAATTCTGCACTCTGGATTCTCATGCAGACAAGCCGTCATCATATCACAGCATTCTGTGAAGAAGAAATGGAGAGGTGAGGTTATTGTTATTATTATTATTAAGCTGTTTCACTTAATTGTTCTTTGATGAACATCTCACCTTGAGAGAGGGTAAATTTGGACCAGTCATGTTGGAGGTAGTACAGGTCATACGCTGATGGGAATTCTCCATGGAGCATTGTGAACAGAAGAACCCCAAGAGAATAGACCGTCGCTGGTTTGGCCCGGTAGCATCCTTTTTTATAAAACTCTGGCGGGATGTACGCTTCTGTGCCTGGAGGAGAGACGTTTAGTTTAGCATCATGTTGAATATATATACCAGATGGGCTTCAGCTGTGCTAATTAACCAGCTTTCAATACGTTTATAAATAATGCTTATGCACATTCATAACTAGTGTTGTCAAAAGTATCAACTACCAATCGATACCGACACTCATCACAGTCATATTTGCTGAGCATGTGAACACCAATGGCCAATCAGTGGTGTTTAACAGCGCTCAAATTGACTTGTTAAATGTCAGAATCGATTGGTACCGAAGTCGATACTTTTGACCACACTATTCAAAACACCTACCAGAGAAGAGACTGTAGGCTGATTCCATCATGAAGTCTCCACACCCGAAGTCGATCAGCTTGACTTCCAGTGTGTCGGGGTTCACCAGCAGGTTTTGAAGCTTAATGTCCCGGTGGAACACCCCGCGGTAACAGCACACGTTGGCCGCATAAACAGCTTGCCTCATGATGGTATGTGCTGTTTTCTCACTGAGGACTCCTCCGCTGACTTCAAGGAATGCCTCCAGGTCCATGCTTGGACTAGGCCGCTCCATCACCATGACATAATGGTTTTCAAAGACCTGCCAGTCCAGGAGCTTAATAATATTCGGACACCTGGAGCCACCGCTGGCCATGTTTGCCAAGGTGATCTCTAGAGGAAGTGGCTGGTCACATGACTGAAAACAAAATAATAATGTTGGTTTTCAAACAAGGGTTTCTGACCACAGCCTGTGGTCTATAATAAATATAAGACTTTATAAACTGAACACAGCGAACAGAAAGTGTAGTCTACTCACAGAGCTGACATCTTGCATATTTGGGGTCTTCTGGACAAATTTAACTGCCACCTGTTTAAAGGAACAAGCGAACAATTAACATGTGCACGGAGATCATTTCATTCAGTCATAAATCCTGAACAGAGGATTCATTCGTCAGCAGAAATGTCCAAACAATGAATGCTCTGATGATGTTCTTTAAACAGGGAACTTCATCAGAGGATTTGAGTCTATAAAAATGAATACCTGCAGACCATCCTGTATGCGAATCCCCTCATACACGGAGCCGAAACCTCCTTCACCAAGCTGCTTTCCGAGTTTGTAGCGGCAGCTGATGTCATCTGTTAAAAATGAAGAAAATGTCATTAAATTATAAACCAAATAAAAACACAAACAGTTGAAGTCAGAATTATTGTCAGATTTCAGAACATGATAGTTTTAATAACTCATTTCTAATAACTGATGTCTTTTATCTTTGTCGTGATGACAGTACATCATATTTACTGGATATTTTCAAGATACCAGTGTTCAGCTTAAAGTTCTGAGTACTTAAACTTTATTGCTCTGCATCATTTGGGAAATATTTAAAAAATATTAATAAAAAAATCACAGGAGGGCGAATAATTTTGACTTCAACTGTATAATTTTACAAAGTTTGATGAGCCTAAACAAATGTTCTGAACTCCAGCAATAAACTTACTATTGTCCAAGCAGGTCCCATCATCTGCTGTAGACTTCACAGCAGAGTCCTCTTGTGAGACCTGATCCGGTAAAGGGTTCGAGTTTTTATCCAGGGCAGAGTCACAGATGTCATCTGTTATGAGCTGCTGGCTCACTGGAAGTTCATTGTCCTCATCGGATGGTGAACTTGGAGGACTATCAAGCTCTTGCTCCAGGCTGTCCTCACTGAGGGAGGATTCGTTGTCTGCTGTGAAGTGAAGCTCTGCAGAGTCGTTCTCAATGACCACTGCAGAGTCAAAGCTGTTCACTTCCGGTTTAGAGTCCAAATCTTCGTCTTCTGGAGCATCAAGAGCTGGAGGTTGGAGAACTTCCAGCTCCAGGTTGCTCACAGCAGTGCAGAAGAATTTAGAGCTACTGATGGGCTCTGCGTGAAGTTCGTGGATCTCCTGCACACATAGCTGATCTAAAGAGAGGAAGGAACATCATTAATATGACTCTACAACTCTTTTTGACAAGATATTTGAACAGTTCATTTGCAGAAACATTACTCAATGTGTTTTTATTGATGATCTTCATGGGTTTTCTGCATTAAATTAGCAAACAAGTAAACTATATATCTAAAGGCAAAGCTCACTGAAATAAAAAATCCTAATACAAATAATTCTTATTTTTTCTGTTTTTTACACAAAACTACAAATTCTGAAGAAAATTCCTGAAATCAGCAGCCATTAACCTTCATTGTAGGAACACAAAATACTGTGGAAGTCAATGGCTGAAAGCACCTCAAACAGGTTTAAGGAGTAAATTATGACAGAATTGTCTTGTTTATGTGAACTGTGGCTTTAAGAAACTCTTTCTAAAATGTCTTCCAGTTAATGTTCATTTCTGATCTTTAAACACTTATGTGATGTGTTTGGTGTGTTTAACAGTATGCTTTAGTAATTAAAAGTGCTCATAAATCTATTTTACCAACAACAGTAGCTCTTCTTCTGGAGAAACAGGTGAAGAAGATGGGAGACAATTTGAGTTTCCTCTTTTTCTGTCTCCCTGCCTGTTTTCCTGCAGCGACGGCCGGGTCATCGGTCATCAGATGACGGTGATTCTCTGTCGTGCTGCCGGTGGGTTCGAGTGGCTCACACGGTTGTTCGTTCGCACACTTAACACCAAACGCTTTCTTCAGACGGTTAATCAGTTTTGAAAATGCCATTTTATCACTGTACTGTTGAATCGCAGAAAGTACTGAACTACTAGACATCCAAAGAAGCTACTGAGAGTTTCTGCTACGTCAAAAGCTTTTTACTGTCACCGATGATGTCAGAGTTCCACAATTCCATTTGGTATGACGTAGAGACTTTTTAAAACACAACAAACTTCTAATGCAGGCCCGCGCTAGACTGACTGGCTCATTCGCCTTAATGTGCTCACACAGCCACCTGCTTATACAAATTTTTTTCCAATTATTAATTAATTTATTTTTGCACTTAGGCCTATATATTTTTTCTGTCATGCACAACTTTTTCTGCGTTTTGCTTTTTATTACAATTATTACCATGTTTATATATATTTATACGCGTGTGTGTGTGTGTGTGTGTGTGTGTGTGTGTGTGTGTGTGTGTGTGTGTGTGTGTGTGTGTGTGTGTGATTCATTTATTTTGAGTAGCTCATTTCGGTTATTTTATATTTTCATTATCAATTATTTATAACTTTTAACTGTATTATTATTATCATTTATATTATATTTTATATATTATGATTATATAAATTCGTTATTCTTGTGAATTCTTTTTAAATGAATAATGCTTCAAATAATAAATTAAAAAGAAAAATATGCAACAAAATGAAGTTATCCATATTACCTGAAGCCGCCAGTAGGTGGTGGTAGGACACTGTCTTAAGTGAATAAGACATTTATTCAGCAACAAAGCAACTGTTGTATTTATGAATAGATCAAGGGTGAATCGACTCTCACAATTAATTTAAATCCACAGATTCATTCACAAAAAATAACCCACTCTAGCCTAAATAAGGACTGAACCGATGTGAACGCTAACAGGTAGGAATAATGATCAAATTCTTGTGGATTAAACATCTTTGATGACATTAATTGCAGTAGATTTTGTTAAGTTACAACTAAAGGTAGGAAATGGTTTTAATTGTGGACTGTACTTATTTTATGTGTGAACATGCTACATGCTAACACCATCACACCATTCCAGTCAACTAATTTAGAGCTAACAACGTTAGTCAACTGTCCCCGCCTTCACTAAGTGAAAAATGCGAATTAAAAAGAAAAAATAACATAAATAAAATAAATAATTACAAATTAAACCAATGAATATTTAAGTCAGTGTAAATAGATCTAACGTTTATTACTGTATGTCACAGGCAAGTAGCGCTAATTAGCATTTGATGCTAATGCTAACATTGATGCAACTTAATGTAACTGTAATGTAAATATTAATGTTATATTAACGGTACTGTAACTTTAAACTAATTATTGTTTTACTTAAAAGCTCGATCAAACCTTTAACATTAACATCAGTCAGATTAATTGCTATTTGAGTGATTCTGTTAAAATTACCTTACATTTGTTTCTGTCTAGTTAACTTTAGGAACTATACAGGGAGAGGAATTATTTAGTGTTATATTACAGAAACTCGATATTTCTTTTCTATATTTTTGTTAGGCCACAGTTTGAAATGCCATTCTGCAGGCTGAAATGGCATATTTAACACAATTAACCACAGCTTTACTACAAATAATACAGTCAGGTTTATTTTTTGTGGATAAATGTAAGCTTACTTTAGTAAAACTATGTTTTTGTCTTATTGGCTAAATGGGCTCATGAAAGTGTTTCACATAGAAATTAATAAATAATAATTAATATTAATGATTCCTTACATTTAAATAGCACGTTTCCTGCACACTCAAAGTGCTTTACGCATTGGTGGAACATGTTTCCTGAAAGCCATTTTGAAATGGAAACAATATTTTTCTTTCCCATTTATAGATGATTTTTGGTCAACAATACATTTTTACGCCCAAATCAGGTAGAAGAAATTCATTTCAAAATATTACACAGGTACTACTATCCCTGCAATATATTTAATAATAAATAATAATAATAATAAAAAAATCACAAAAATGTTCTTTTTGTACTTGTAAATTTTCTGATGATTTTTGGAAACAGGTTTCAGGGTTGATTTTTGATTAATTTGGAGATATGCTGTAGAGAGAGAGGAATCATTAAAAGGCCAGAAGTAAAAATTCTGTCGTCATTTACACCAAACTTGCTTGCGTTCTTGTGATATTTTGAGAAGTCAGTGGTCCCTCACTGATTATAAAACACACACACACACACACACACACGCACACACACACACACACACACATTTTGAGTCTCTATGCAGTTACATTGACTGTAATTTAAGTTATGAAAGCAAACAATATACTTTTTTTTGTTTTATATTAATTATGACGTATTTAAAGGAAGACTTTTTGGCAAATAGGCTAATTTTTCAAGTCACTCAGAGTTAAACTGTTGAGTTTAATCATTTTAATCCGTTCAGCTGATCTCTGGGTCTAACAAATAGTCCAAAATCCTTGATTATTACTCCAGAATGAGAGTATAGCAAAGATTATAGAATACACATGACGTGTCACTCGTATACTTTTGAATGGGAAAAGTGAAACAGTCATTATGGCGAATAAAGCCCCACCTTCTAGTACAGGAGCCAATCAGTGATTGATATATGGCAAATAAAGCCCACCTTTTAGTACATGAGCCAATCAGCGATCAGTATAGAATGACAATTCTCCAGGGGAGGGGCTTGGACTAGATGTGAGTTTCTGCAGATATTGTGTGATACGGACATTTATAAATGAAACTAAAAGGACAGTTACTGTTCAATTTTATTGGTTATTCATAGTATGTAATGTAATCGTAATCTTGGCAAGCAGTTTTGAAGAATTTGATTTACCCATTCAAACAGAATGCCCATGTATACTTCCCGAGAGGCGTATAGGTATAGTTACTAGCCATGTCAAGCTGGAACATAGCAGCTATTCATTTCCATCAGTCTTGGTGCATACTTTAACTACACAAGAGTCAAGTTTTACTTTAAAAACTCTTTGGAATTTTTTGAGCGAGATGCTAATGGTCTAATCTGATTCAAGGATCTATGCTAAGCTAAGCTAAAAGTTCTTCTGTCAGACCCGGAGTTTGTCTGAATGGATTTAAAGAGCCCCTATTATACATTAAAAAGGGTCATATTTTGTTTTGTTTTGGGGGGGGGTCTCTCCAACAACAGGCTGATGTGCATTCAAGGGCAAAGAACACTTTCATTGTCTTAAAATATGCATTTATTTTTATCAAATTATGCCAGCGACTCTCATATGATTATTTAGCAAATATTTTGTTCCTACACCCCTCCCTAACACGATGTAAATCTGCGCTGATTGGTCCTATTGTACTCTGTTGTGATTGGTCAACAGCGTTCAGCGTGAGACAGAGAGAAATGCCCACCATGGCTTATCAACAATATTGAAGTAGTCAGAGTGCAGAGTGTATGTGTGAGTATACCTGCCAACACTCACGTTTTTTCCGGGAGTCTCCTGTAATTTCAGACCCATCTCCCGCCACCCTCCCGTTTTGTTATTTATCCCGGAAACTGATGATGGCCATAGCAACGACAAGTGCCAAAGGATTGTGCGTTTAAATGCAAACGCTGCAAATGCAAATGCAAAATGAATAGCTGCTATGTTTAAATGCAAACGCATTTAAATTCGTAAACAAAGCAGCATGCGTCGCATTTTCATCATGGCATTAGACGTGATATGAGAATATAAAGAGTTAACCAGATGCACTACAAGCGGTTACAAGTAGCAAAACACAATTAAATACATAATTTGTAGAGAAAACAAAGAGGCAACCATTTTAATTGCACATACTTACACTTGTGAAATGGAGAAAGAAACTGATCCACATTTGCATTATTTATTAAAAATGTTTCCTTCCTGTTAAAAATAAATATATTTCTAATCTGATATGTAATGGGGAGAAAAAAAGTAGCACAAGTTCAGCAGATGGTGGATTCGAACCGGGTTGATAATCAATCGCGTCAAAAGATGTTGCTGTGCACATTACGAGGTACGCCACTCAGGCTGTGATGCTGCATAGCTCTTTACTAGGCCCACACGGAATCTGTGCGCACAGAATTCTGCAGATTTTTCGCAGATCTTTAGCCTATCATTAATTCTGTTTATTTACTTGAGTAAATAAATGTGTAATTTATTCAGTTTTTATTCAGTAATTTATTAATTTTTATTTAATATATTAAGGTGTAAGTTATGATACTCCGCTGGAAACTCCCAAAATAATTCCACAGAAATCCGCAGATTTTTACCAAAATTCTCAGCAGAAATAGCAAAAAACGTCCGCAGATTCCGTCTGGCCCTGCTCTTTACTCATGTTGTCTCTGTCAATCAAGCATCGATGGGCATAAAGCGTGAATAGCTTATTCCAACTAGGTGCGCTATTTGCAGTTAGCCTAAAAAAAACACCCCGAAATTGTCTTTTTCTTCTCCCCCCTCGCAGGGGCCCCAAGTGCGCTCGGGCCACTGGGCCTGTGCCTATAAGGCCCATTGGTTAATCCGGCCCTGAGCGGGGCTTAAGTTCCATTTCCTGGTCACGCCGGCACGGCTAAAGACTCTTTATCAAGTCGATTCATTTGAAGCACTGCGAGTTGACTCTTTTATAAATGAATCAACAGTTTTAAACACTGCACACTTGCAGATTTAAGTCTTAGCTGAATAATTCACTTCACTTAGAGCTGTGTTACACAATACATGGAAGGTCATTCTCAAAAACCCATAATAGAGGCTCTTTAAAAAAAAAAGAAGAAGAATAAACTGAACTGTCTAACTCGAGGGAATGTAACATGAGCATATTTGCAAGTAGTTGTGTGGTTTACCCAAAAAGGAAACTTCTGTCATCATTTCTGATGAGTTTTTTTGACTCTGTTGAACATAAAAGAAGATATTTTTAATAATGCTGAAAACCTGAACATTGACTTCCATCGTAGTTATTTTTCCTGCAATAGAAGTCAATAGCTAGAGGTTTTCAGCATTATTGAAAATGTCTTCTTTTGTGTTTAACAGAAGAAAGAAACTCATAACGATTTCAAATATGCAGAGGGTGAGTAAATGATGGAATCATTTTTATTTTTACTATTAATTTCACTGTTAGTTTAAGTTATTGAGTTTAATTTAAAAGCCTCACAAAAATACTTTATTCATTCATTCGTTTATTTTCTTTTCGGCTCAGTCCCTTTATTAATCTGGGGTCACCACAGCGGAATGAACCGCCAACTTATCCAGCATATGATTTTAAGCAGCGGGTGCCCTCCCAGCTGCAACCCATCTCTGGGAAACATACATACATACTCATTCATACACTACGGACAATTTAGCCTACTCAATTCACCTGTACCGCATGTCTTTGGACTGTGGGGGAAACCATAGCACTCGGAGAAAACCCACGCGAACGCAGGGAGAACATGCAAACTCCACACAGAAATGCCAACTGACTCAGCCGAGGCTCGAACCAGCGACTTTCTTGCTGTGTGGTGACAGCACTACCTACTGCGTCGCCAAATTACTTTATTATTTGATATAAAACTACATTTTTTTATTTATTAAAATAATTTCCAATTATTAAAAAGCCTTTTCAGTGTCAGTTTTCAGCCAAATGCATCTAGAATTTTCCGTTTCAATCAACAAGCTTCATTTCGGTGCTTCCCTAATCTTGCTATAAGAGGGTCTTTTTGCATTGCACAACTCAAAAACAAGGCGGCAAAACATCTAATTATTATAAACATTTTAAATTATAAACATTTAATTACTACAAAAATAGAACCAAACCCTTTTTCCCCAAATGTCATTATTATTAACAAAATTATTGTTAATAGACATTTATAAAATACTTATTTAACGTGTTGAAGCAACTCAATTCTTAAGTTTATTGGGGGCAACTTGACTGTTTTATGTTCAACTCACTTACATTTATAAAAACAATCAAGTTAACCGAATTCTTTACTTTTTCATCATTTCTATTGTTAAAACGTTCTCACATTTCGCAGGGTTGTAAAACCCAACAATGTTTTAACACTACACATATATTTACAATATTTTTTGTTAATTCGGTTTAATTTCTGAATGTTAAGTAATCAAAAGTGGTAGTTGTAGTTGTTGTTGTTGTTATTAATAATGCTGTTGTCATTTTCACTGACATTATTACTATCATTATTATTATTGTACTATCTATCTATTATATGTTTTATTTAAATCTTTATTATTCTTGCTTCATTTTTTTGAATTGTTGTATATTTTTATGTTCTCTTGTGTATATACTTTGTTTGACTTGTTCACCCAGTTACCTTTACATGCGCGCGCACAACAGGTTTGTTTTTTTCAGCAGGGTGTTTTATGTTGATTTTCTCTATAGAGACTTTTTGGATCACTTGTTTCTATTTTAAGATGACCAGATGGTTTAAGTTTCAGTTGTGTTTGGGAATTGTGACTAATTTTACACTCTTTCTTTTCAGACACCCCTTTTCTGGCCGTGAGGGACCCATCTCGAATGGCTCTGGCTTTATAATAAGTAGTGATGACCTGATAGTGACAAATGCCCATGTGGTCAACAAGCGTGGTGTTCGTGTCAAACTGACCAATGGTGAGACTTACAACGCCACAGTTCAGGATGTAGACCAGGCTGCAGACATCGCCACCATCAAAATCAATGTTAAGGTACAGATGGAGCTTTGAGGTTGTACTGTTAACATATGTAATCTTTTGGGGATATTTAATTTTTTAATTAGGGCTGCACCGATCCTGATACTTGGATTGGATATCGGTTCAATACTGCATATTTTTACTGCAAATCCCATCTTGCACGTGCTCTATATTCTGTGTAATTTATAAGCAAAGAAAAGCCAAAAAGTTAGCCTTTTATAAGACAGTAGAAAGTTGTCTTGTAGGCCTACTGTATCCCAAATGTTTTGAAGCCATTCTATAGTTTAATGTGAAGTACACACTGTTAAAAATTGTCCCGTTAAAAAACAGTAAAATACTGGCAGCTGCTGTTGCCAGCAGTGTACTGTTATTTTACAGTATGTCGCTGTAAAAATACATGAACTACATTGATTTACACAATACTCAAGGGAACTCATTTTGTTCACTGAAAGCAACTGCCTCAAATTGGTCAACTGCTGAATGAGTTTATGAAGTATTGTGCTATACATGCTTAGAAGTATACTTATAATGATAACTTATTTTAGTTAATTAGAAAAGTTCGGTTTAACTCTAACGTCTTATATTTCACAACAGCACACAAACATGTAAATCTGGAACTACCAGAGATTCTGACTGCATCAGCAACTAAACAGCCGCTATCTTTAAATAGAGAAACATGCAGAACAACATCAGCAGTTCACTGTTCATCTTTAACTCATACACTGGCTCTACTCTTCTCCACAACGGTGACACACAGAAGAAATTAGCTTCAGGTTTTACAGTAAAATACTGTTTTTTCCTTTATTTAACAGTAAACTACTGGCAGCTGTGGTTGCCAGCAATCTACTGTTTTTTTACAGTCTATTTCCGTAGTTTAAATTAACAGTATATTACTGTTAAAATACATTTTACACTGAGATTTTACCTCTCACACCTTTAACCCTTTAAACCCCAGAGCATATACTTCAGTTTTAATTGAAGTGTCCACACTACTGAGTGTTCAAGAAACGTGTAGCAAAGCTGAAGTAAATGAATTAATCAAACGACTAATTAAATGATGATTGAGGATTAACGATGAACAAATGAAGAAATACTGAAGGGAAAAAACAAGAACAGAACATACAAAACTACAACTTTAGTCACAGCATTATAATAAAATAACCTGAAGGTCAACAAATGATTAAATCATTTGAATGATCAGCGGATGATTAAACAACTCTACAAACATCATCACCAGCTTCACTTATTACTGAAACGTTTATTTTTGTGTAACATCTACTAAAGTTCTTCTTGAGAGTAAGGGTAACATTTTACGTCACCATCATGGAGAACAGAGTTTGCTTTAGTTGGGCTTTTAGCCCTGACATCATTATCAATAATATATTTTGGCTGCTGCAATTGTTAGGAGCTTCGTTTAAAAAACTTACTTGATGTGGCAAGCCAGCCAAAAACCTAAAGAATGTCTGGTAATGTTTATGTTGCTATTAAATGCCAGAATCTATTCTAATTTAATGTAATATTATTTACTGCTCTTATTCAACGTTAATTCTATTGTTTCACAATATATGTGGCAATGATTTCTAGAAGTTTTTAAGAATATTTTGGACAAAAACACTTTGCTCTATGATGTAAGTTGCACTCAAACAGACATCGATAATCAGCATATAAACCTCAACTATGGTGACAAGTAACAAAATTAACAGTTTAACTCACAAACAGGCAACTAAAAGTCTAAACATAAATAAAAGCAGAATAAAACGCAAATAAAGAAAACTGTAAGACCATTATACTACATTTATTCATGCCGCAATGCATGCTGGGAAATTTGTACTGTGCCACAACCAGCATGCATTGCAGTATGAAACATTTTAATTGTTACCATTGTTGAGGTACAAGGTCTGATTCATGAGGTCTGAGTGTGTCTTTATCTTAACTGAACTGTGTTTGTATGTTACAGTATCTCTTAACTGTAAAGTAATTATATAAGTATCTTTTATGTTTCCACTGATTAATTAAATTAATATCTGCAACTATAGAATACAGAATACTACTGTTTTAGTGAAAAAACATTATTTTACTGTGGAATCTGACCGTTTTTTAACAGCAATTTTTTACAGTGCAGATCAATATTCACATGGTTAAATTCATGTTCAGTTCTGCGCTCCCCTCCGCTGCGCCTGTCAATCATTCTCCGTTTATTTACAATTCAAACTGCGTGTCACGTTCATGACAACATGAAAAACTTTCTCCAACACTATTTGTCCCTGTTAATTTAAATAAATATTAATTTATTATATTACATTATATTAATTTATTCTAATATAATATATATTATATTGGTTCATTTCGACCTGAAACGACGAGTTCATTTCTGTTTCTAAATCATGTAGCTGTTAGATCAGCAGATCGCGTTCGCAACACTGGAACTGAGTGGGTTATTACCTGCTCTTCACACACAAAGTAGGCCTACCTGAAATTTAAAACTAGAAAAGGCTCAATAATACATTGGACAGATCCTTAACGCACTGATTTCTTCCCTTTTTACTGCTGTTTTGGATTGGAAGTGTCCGCAGATAACGGAGGACTGCGCGCTGTCTTAGTGATGCATCAAGCACTTCATTCACACACCGGCTGATGTGACGTGTGCCGCTCTGTAAAATTATCACAAGTGCGGTAGGAGTATTTATAGCCGCAGACATGCAACCTTATTCAGTGGTAGAAAATTCTGGTTTTAGGTATTTAGGGCGTACTTACACTATGCTATCCGAACCGTACCCTGGCCCGTTTCCCGGTTATTCAGTCTTTTTTTCAGAGTCTTGGTTTGGAGAATCGGGATGGAAAAGGAGTTACATTGGAGTGATGATGTTGACTTTGACCCCCAGGTGCCAAACACTTTTATTACAATTTTACAGGAGAGCAAAATTCATACATTATGGAATCTACAGATTTTTGTTATATGCCACTAGATTTGGCTCTTAGAAATTCAAGTGCTGGAATACCTGGAAAATTGGCTTGTTCTGTTGAAAAGTGCTTAATTTATCAAGGAGAATTTGTATGCAATTTTCACGCCTGAAAAATAAAAATGTTTGTGAATTTTTGTGACAATTTAATGCAAAAATACCCGCACAATTTACCGTGATTCCCGAAGCAGTGATTTAAATGAAATGAAAAGTAGCCAATCACAGTCAACCTTGTCTAGTTTTACTTGAAATGTAAGAGCGGGACAAAGGCCTTTCTGTGTTGCAGTGACAGAAAATAACTACTCAAAAACAAGTGTTTTATTGGAATAATGCTTTTGGGATGTTTTCACTATAGAGATGTCCATGTTATTAGCATGAGTAATTAAAGCGCAGAGATACTTCCTGCCATTTCAATGATCTACACGCACATTTTGGTCTCTTCTCTCCGCTCTCTTCTTCTGACTTCTCTGTCACTCTTCTGAATGTCGGCGCGGGAATGCAGGTATTGCGCAATTACTCATTTCTGCAAATGTATTGAGCGCTTTATTTTAACATGAGAGCGCAGTCATGTACATAAATCGCAAAAACAGATATGCGAGCTCTTAAATAGGCTTTTTCAAATTACCTGCAAGTCCTCTCATCATCTCGTGTGTGTGCTCAGACTGTTTACAATCGCGATCTCTTCAATAATAAAGTAGAAATTATTTATCTTTGCTCCTTGACCAAATTTAGTATTTAGATTACAGACTTTTTGTTTGGCTGTATCGTCAAATGAAACTTAGATTGAGCAAAGTTGGAACTTTTTATATTTCTCTAAGACAAAAGAATTATGCTAGAAATGTTTCTGTTTGGGGTATTTGTGGGGTTTATACATTATAGCTGTTTTCTGATCTGTCTTAAAGCATCACTGAATTGTACAGGCATTACAGGTCAAAGCAATCTGCTGTTACATTTATCATAATAAACAATAAGGCTCTTCAAACACCTACTATGAAAAATGCAGTGTTGTCATATTTCAAATACCTAGAGTTAAACAAAGTCATTTGCTTTATTATTTTATTACTGACAGTGTACTTGTCTTTTTTGTAAAATTATTTCAGTTTAAGATCAAGTGTAAAATAATATTTCCATGTGCTGTACAGCTATTTAAGAAACAAATTTGCCATATTGTAAAGACAAGAATGAGCAAATAAGAAAAATGGTGTAAAATATGTAAATAAAAGGCTAAATTTAAATCTTTTCATCATATACTTAAATCTTTCAAAACTTGAAAATATTGTTTAAAAACATGGACAAAATGTGTCTCTGGTCTTATAGAGTATGTGGTAGTTTTGCCAGTACTATTGAAAAAGATTAATTGTCATGGAAGGAAAAATCGACCATACTTCCTTTGTTAGTGCACAGTTTTATATATGTAGCTTTGTGATTTAAGCAATTAAACCATTCAAATAAATGTATTATTATTTCTTTTAAAAAGAGCCATAATGAAATCAGAGTTTTTTCCCAAAAAATATCTAACTAGTACTCTGAGTAGTTTTTAAAAGAGTACTTTGTATTTTTACCCAATGTTAGTATTATTTACCAAAACTTGTATTATTTTAGCAGTGTAATAGTATTTTTACTTGAGTACAAAAAAAAACATTTTCACAAGCACATTTAGTGCAGGTTTATTATATTATTAATACACAATTGATTAATTAATTATATTATTAATATTATGAATATTAATGGTTTTTAGTTCTATTTATTCCTGTGCAGTGTTTTAACATGTTGCGTGTCAGTCTTGAAAATAAAAATAGGTGCTGGAAAAAAGTGCTTAAGTCCTTGATTTTCATTAGGCTGTGCCTGTATGAGCCCTGTAAAATTCAAGATATTGGGGAAACAAAAATTCCCATTTAAGGTTTTAGTTTTGTATACATAATGTAGAATTGAGCAATATCACTAAATATTTTTTGTCCCAAATGACATGAGTTTAATTGTGGTATTGATTTAAACAGTTCTGTAAATAATTTATATATGTGTTGACAAAATTCTTAATCTAATACATTTACTCAGTTGATGACAGTTCTAGTTTCTTGTTCTGATGATTATTTCATTAAACCAAATGATTTAATATTTTCTTATTAATCATAGGTAAATGAATAAATAAATGGATAATAAATAATGGAATAATTATATCATTTATTCATTTTGGTTTAGTTTTAAACGTGTATCAGTTTCTTTATTTTGGTTAGTTTGTAACCAAACTGTTTTAGAGTGTCCAAATACCAATTTAGAGAACTCTGGAAATTTACATTTATTTGTAATAATGTTGAATAGAAAAAATTATTATCTTTTTTCTAAATTTATACTTGATGTTTTTGTATTTAACAATTATGAGTGAAACTTTTGTATTTTGAGCAGTTTCTCAGTAAAATTTAAGATGGATACACAGACAGACAGACAGACAGACTCTGAATATTTGCTCTGAAATAGCATGTAAGTGTGGCTTAGTAATAAATGTAATTCCTGCACGGTGCCGGCCGAACACTAACTAACTGGCGAATGACACTAACTAGTGGGTTGTCTGCTGTTGTGACGCGGTGCACGCATTCGCGATTTCTGGAGGCGTGGCTTTGCATCACAGTCCCTCTCCGCCGTCCAAGGTTAATATGTTTATCGATTAGCATTTTGGCAGATCACCTACTGCACCTCTAATTTATCAGTACATGCTATAATTAATCAGATTAAATGTGTGTTATGGATATTGAACGATATCCACAGCCCTGACTAAAAATAAATTGCTCATAAATTTTGGTCATAAAATGTGCAGACACTGGTTAATAATCAATATTATTAGCTCACGTGTGTTTGTCCAAACTGTTACATAGATTACACTTTTGCGTATTTGCCTGTGCACACATTCCTGTCAACACAAATAAACTTTGCACTGAAGTGAGTCTTTTATTATCTTTAAATTCTCTTTTTCCCCTCCTCAGTATAATCGAAGAGCTAAGGATGCGAGACCCGTCCTTCCCTGATGTTTCTCATGGAGTTCTCATCCACCGTGTGATTGTAGGATCTCCAGCCAACAGGTGTGCTGCTCTCTGAACATGATGTTATCAGCTGTTGATTAAGGCATCCTTTTGATGATGTCATTTCCTGTTTTCTGTTTTGCAGAGCCGGAATGAAGCCAGGAGATGTTATTATTGAGATCAATGGGGTAAAGGTGAACACGTCGGAGGAGATATATAATGCTGTGAGGACCAGCGAAAGCTTAAATGTGGTGGTCCGCCGGGGGGCCGACCTGCTCATGCTGCACATGACCCCAGAGTCCACAGAGTGACATCAAGTCAAGTATTTAGTAAGATTAAGAAATGGTGAGTAATGAGAAGCTGTCATAGTTGGAGATGTTGTAAGAAAGGAATCATCTAAAGAGTTGAACAGTTTTAGCAAACGCTGGACATTCGTGTAGTAAACGTGTTTCTGGAAGCGTATGAAATAATGTGGATGATTCAGACTTCTGTACACTGGATAAACCTCAGTGTGTCTGCGCAAACTACACTATCAGTATTGATTTGAAGGAATATCACTGAATATTTTGTTTAGGATTGTCATGAGGGCAACAAACACTCAACGACCTTAATAAAACTGGGTGCTCTTATTGTGAAAATGCTGATGTTTTGTATTGAGTCTCACATTCTCATGTTACGACGTTTGTTTGTTACGATTTGCTTATGTCGCAGTGACTGATATGTTTAGGTTTTGGGTCAGCGCTGTACAGCATTCTGAAAAAGTGTATTTCTAAAAGTGCGCCGTAATGACGCCAGTGTCAACTGCAGTGTGTGTTGGAAAGGACTGGATGCTGTTCAAACCTCATGCCAAATTATTGTCACCCCATACAAAACCAGTTTAAATCCACACAATCTGACAACACTGGGGCTAGATCACAATATAAGCCACAACACAAGTGAGTTCAATAAAATATATCTTTATTACAGACATGTAGAAAAATCAAATATACAAAACATTCTGCTAATGTGACTCAGAACTCCAGCATGGACCAGTCGTGGTAAGGCATCTCTTCTAGAGGAATTCTGCACTCTGGATTCTCATGCAGACAAGCCGTCATCATATCACAGCATTCTGTGAAGAAGAAATGGAGAGGTGAGGTTATTGTTATTATTATTATTAAGCTGTTTCACTTAATTGTTCTTTGATGAACATCTCACCTTGAGAGAGGGTAAATTTGGACCAGTCATGTTGAAGGTAGTACAGGTCATACGCTGATGGGAATTCTCCATGAAGCATTGTGAACAGAAGAACCCCAAGAGAATAGACCGTCGCTGGTTTGGCCCGGTAGCATCCTTTTTCATAAAACTCTGGCGGGATGTACGCTTCTGTGCCTGGAGGAGAGACGTTTAGTTTAGCATCATGTTGAATATATATACCAGATGGGCTTTAGCTGTGCTAATTAACCAGCTTTCAATACGTATATTAATAATGCTTATGCACATTCATAACTAGTGTTGTCAAAAGTATCAACTACCAATCGATACCGACACTCATCACAGTCATATTTGCTGAGCATGTGAACACCAATGGCCAATCAGTGGTGTTTAACAGCGCTCAAATTGACTTGTTAAATGTCAGAATCGATTGGTACCGAAGTCGATACTTTTGACCACACTATTCAAAACACCTACCAGAGAAGAGACTGTAGGCTGATTCCATCATGAAGTCTCCACACCCGAAGTCGATCAGCTTGACTTCCAGTGTGTCGGGGTTCACCAGCAGGTTTTGAAGCTTAATATCCCGGTGGAACACCCCGCGGTAACAGCACACGTTGGCCGCATAAACAGCTTGCCTCATGATGGTATGTGCTGTTTTCTCACTGAGGACTCCTCCGCTGACTTCAAGGAATGCCTCCAGGTCCATGCTTGGACTAGGCCGCTCCATCACCATGACATAATGGTTTTTAAAGACCTGCCAGTCCAGGAGCTGAATAATGTTCGGACACCTGGAGCCATCGCTGGCCATGTTTGCCAAGGTGATCTCTAGAGGAAGTGGCTGGTCACATGACTGAAAACAAAATAATAATGTTGGTTTTCAAACAAGGGTTTCTGACCACAGCCTGTGGTCTATAATAAATATAAGACTTTATAAACTGAACACAGCGAACAGAAAGTGTAGTCTACTCACAGAGCTGACATCTTGCATATTTGGGGTCTTCTGGACAAATTTAACTGCCACCTGTTTAAAGGAACAAGCGAACAATTAACATGTGCACGGAGATCATTTCATTCAGTCATAAATCCTGAACAGAGGATTCATTCGTCAGCAGAAATGTCCAAACAATGAAAGCTCTGATGATGTTCTTTAAACAGGGAACTTCATCAGAGGATTTGAGTCTACAAAAATGAATACCTGCAGACCATCCTGTATGCGAATCCCCTCATACACGGAGCCGAAACCTCCTTCACCAAGCTGCTTTCCGAGTTTGTAGCGGCAGCTGATGTCATCTGTTAAAAATGAAGAAAATGTCATTAAATTATAAACCAAATAAAAACACAAACAGTTGAAGTCAGAATTATTATCAGATTTCAGAACATGATAGTTTTAATAACTCATTTCTAATAACTGATGTCTTTTATCTTTGTCGTGATGACAGTACATCATATTTACTGGATATTTTCAAGATACCAGTGTTCAGCTTAAAGTTCTGAATACTTAAACTTTATTGCTCTGCATCATTTGGGAAATATTTAAAAAAATATTAATAAAAAATCACAGGAGGGTGAATAATTTTGACTTCAACTGTATAATTTTACAAAGTTTGATGAGCCTAAACAAATGTTCTGAACTCCAGCAATAAACTTACTATTATCCAAGCAGGTCCCATCATCTGCTGTAGACTTCACAGCAGAGTCCTCTTGTGAGACCTGATCCGGTAAAGGGTTCGAGTTTTCATCCAGGGCAGAGTCACAGATGTCATCTGTTATGAGCTGCTGGCTCACTGGAAGTTCATTGTCCTCATCGGATGGTGAACTTGGAGGACTATCAAGCTCTTGCTCCAGGCTGTCCTCACTGAGGGAGGATTCGTTGTCTGCTGGGAAGTGAAGCTCTGCAGAGTCGTTCTCAATGACCACTGCAGAGTCAAAGCTGTTCACTTCCGGTTTAGAGTCTAAATCTTCGTCTGCTGGAGCATCAAGAGCTGGAGGTTGGAGAACTTCCAGCTCCAGGTTGCTCACAGCAGTGCAGAAGAATTTAGAGCTACTGATGGGCTCTGCGTGAAGTTCGTGGATCTCCTGCACACATAGCTGATCTAAAGAGAGGAAGGAACATCATTAATATGACTCTACAACTCTTTTTGACAAGATATTTGAACAGTTCATTTGCAGAAACATTACTCAATGTGTTTTTATTGATGATCTTCATGGGTTTTCTGCATTGAATTAGCAAACAAGTAAACTATATATCTAAAGGCAAAGCTCACTGAAATAAAAAATCCTAATACAAATAATTCTTATTTTTTCTGTTTTTTACACAAAACTACAAATTCTGAAGAAAATTCCTGAAATCAGCAGCCATTAACCTTCATTGTAGGAACACAAAATACTGTGGAAGTCAATGGCTGAAAGCACCTCAAACAGGTTTAAGGAGTAAATTATGACAGAATTGTCTTGTTTATGTGAACTGTGGCTTTAAGAAACTCTTTCTAAAATGTCTTTCAGTTAATGTTAATTTCTGATCTTTAAACACTTATGTGATGTGTTTGGTGTGTTTAACAGTATGCTTTAGTAATTAAAAGTGCTCATAAATCTATTTTACCAACAACAGTAGCTCTTCTTCTGGAGAAACAGGCGAAGAAGATGGGAGACAATTTGAGTTTCCTCTTTTTCTGTCTCCCTGCCTGTTTTCCTGCAGCGACGGCCGGGTCATCGGTCATCAGATGACGGTGATTCTCTGTCGAGCTGCCGGTGGGTTCGAGTGGCTCACACGGTTGTTCGTTCGCACACTTAACACCAAACGCTTTCTTCAGACGGTTAATCAGTTTTGAAAATGCCATTTTATCACTGTACTGTTGAATAGCAGAAAGTACTGAACTACTAGACATCCAAAGAAGCTACTGAGAGTTTCTGCTACGTCAAAAGCTTTTTACTGTCACCGATGATGTCAGAGTTCCACAATTCCATTTGGTATGACGTAGAGACTTTTTAAAACACAACAAACTTCTAATGAAAGCCCGCGCTAGACTGACTGGCTCATTCGCCTTAATGTGCTCACACAGCCACCTGCTTATACACATTTTTTCCAATTATTAATTAAATTAATTTTGCACTTAGGCCTATGTATTTTTTCTGTCATGCACAACTTTTCTGCGTTTTGCTTTTTGTTACAATTTTTACCATGTTTATATATATTTATACGTGCGAGTGTGTGTGTGTGTGTGTGTGTGTGTGTGTGTGTGTGTGTGATTCATTTATTTTGAGTAGCTCATTTCAGTTATTTTATATTTTCGTTATCAATTATTTATCATTTTTAACAGTATTATTATGATCATTTATATTATATTTTATATATCATGATTATATAAATTCGTTATTGTTGTGAATTCTTTTTTAAATGAATAATGCTTCAAATAATAAATTAAAAAGAAAAATATGCAACAAAATGAAGTTATCCATGTATTACCTGAAACCGCCAGTAGGTGGTGGTAGGACACTGTCTTAAGTGAATAAGACATTTATTCAGCAACAAAGCAACTGTTGTATTTATGAATAGGTCAAGGATGAATCGACTCTCACAATTTATTTAAATCCACAGATTCATTCACAATAATAACCCACTCTAGCCTAAATAAGGACCGAACCTATGTGAACGCTAACAGGTAGGAATAATGATCAAATTATTGTGGATTAAACATCTTTATTGACATTAATTGCAGTAGATTTTATTAAGTTACAACAAAAGGTATGAAATGCTTTTAATTGCGAACTGTACTTATTTTGTGTGAACATGCTACATGCTAACACCGTCACAGCATTCCAGTCAACTAATTTAGAGCTACTAACGTTAGTCAACAGTCCCCGCCTTCACTAAGTGAAAAATGCGAATTAAAAAGAAAAAATAACATAAATAAAATAAATAATTACAAATTAAACCAATGAATATTGAAGTCAGTGTAAATAGATCTAACGTTTATTACTGTGTCACAGGCTATAGTAGCGCTAATTAGCATTTGATGCTAATGCTAACATTGATGCAACTTAATGTAACTGTAACGTAAATATTAATGTTATATTAACGGTACTGTAACTTTAATCTATTGTTTTACTTAAAAGCTCGATCAAACCTTTAACGTTAACATCAGTCAGATTAATTGCTATTTGAGTGATTCTGTTAAAATTAACTTACATTTGTTTCTGTCTAGTTAACTTTAGGAACTATACAGTGAGAGGAATTATTTAGTTTTATATTACAGAAACTCGATATTTCTTTTCTATATTTTTGTTAGGCCACAGTTTGAAATGCCATTCTGCAGGCTGAAATGGCATATTTAACACAATTAACCTCGACTTTACTACAAAAAATACAGTCAGGTTTATTTTGTGTGGATAAATGTAAGCTTACTTTAGTAAAACTATGTTTTTGTCTTATTGGCTAAATGGG